GCCCCTTTTCCACATGTTTACTGCTCTGACCATCCATTCTCATGTGCTTTCACCTACCTGTGCTGCAACTACACCTTCATTTTGCTTTGCAGACATGTTCTGTGCTGCTAAAACTGCTCTTTGTGGGAACAGAGTACAGATAGCTTGAGAAACTGCACAGGCTAGTAAAAAACAGGAAAAGGACTCTTATCAAATTAGTAACGTCTTGGGTATTTGGGTGGAGGCATTTGGCACTGTGCTTGCATATTCTTATGGGATTGAGTCCACGAATACTACAAACTCTATTCCTTTGCTTCATATTTTTCCTTCCCAAACTTAGATATATTTCAAAAGAGCCCCTCTCAAAATATGTAATTATTATATGCTACACAAATTAGTAAGCAGGGATTTTACTTTATTCACTTTCCATACAGGATAAATCAAGTTAATTACATTTGCACAGGTTTATACCACAATAGGATATTTGCAAAAACTAAAGTAGGTATTTCTTTTGTACCTTTGCAAGCAGAGCTGTGGGAAACAACTAAGAGAATTTTAAAAACTTTGCTACTGAGGGAAGACAATTGCCTGAGATGAGTGACTTTTCTAATATGCCCTAAGTGTAAGACTTGGAATAACTCATCAGCTGCTTGAATTGGAAATACTGTCATTTATTTCTTTTACCTTGACCAAAACCAGGACCATTTCTTTGTTTTAGATGCTACTTGTACTTTCTGGTGTATAGCAATGTACATCACTGTATATTGTTACATCATTGTAACACTTAACTTATAGTTATGGCTTCGTGTGATTACCATCACTCAGTAGAACAGTTTTACTACCTGCACACTCATCTCACTGTCTGTCACTCAGCTTGGGTTCTTTTCATCCTTTCATCACCAATAAAAGCAATCTGCTGTGTGAAGGCAAGGAAGGTAAGGACACATCTGTCACAGGAGAATCCAGCTCGAGGCGTGCTGGTGCTGGAGGAGAGGCTGTGCTCTACTTAGTGGATGACAACATTTTTTCCAAATGCTGTAATGAAAGTTAACAAGTTCCTACTTGACTTAGCACCTGGCAAATTTAACCAACAGTTGTGAATAAAAAGCTTTTTTTTTTTTTTTTTTTTTTTTTTTTTTTTTTTTGTGGCTGTTGTGTTCTTGTAAATTCTCAGCCAGGAAAATAAAATATAACCAAAGCTAAATCCCTATGTTGTCTGAGAAATACATGTACAAATGATAAGTAATATGTCTGATGTTAGAGAGCAATGTCTTCATTGTTGATTCACAGGCAAAACAGACTTGGGCAAAAGAGGAACTGGGAAAACAGACATGGTTTTCTGGGTTTAAAGTAGTTTGAAAAGGGATTTCTGCCATCTCAGGCCTTTAATACAGTATGCAGGTGTCCCACTCAGATCAAAAGAATTGCTCAGCACCTCTGAACACCAGCTTCTTCTTTAGAAATTGAAATATAACATTGCACTGCTCACTGTGGGCAGCTGTTTGATTTTTAAACAGACATACCAAATGTCACGGCAGCTAAAGATCCAGCAGCTTTGACACACGAGAGATTTTTTTCATTGTGCAATGACTATTAAAGCTCAATTCTGCAACACTGAGACTTTGCTCTAATGGAACTGTTTGTTTGACTAAGGCTTAGTCAAACAGGCAGACCTTAGCTCTATGTACTCCATATGTGTGCTATGGCCAAAGCAGTGTATGCACCTGGGTGGTTTGGTAAAATGATCTTTAAAACAACTCAGCTGAAATGGCACAGATCCCTACACAATCTGCACTCAATTTAAACTTGGATTTTATCATTTTTCTTTAATTAAATCCAAACTGTTAATAGCTTGTGATTCACAAATATAATGGATCTAGAGTAAACCCTTCCTATCAGTCCTTTTGCCAGCTGGTTCCTACTGCTGGCAGCACAAAAACTGAAGGAGATGCAGAGGGAGGAGTCAATAATTTAATTGCTCAAAATGGCAATAATGTCTTTATCTCCTGCACACAGACTCATAAGCTCATGTGCTTTTCATTCCAATTTATGACAGTAAGTCTCAGCACTGAGCACCTCCCATGGACTAACACCCAGTTTGGGCTGTTAGTTGAGCTGTCTCTTGTATCCACAATCCTTCCCAGCAGTTAATTTCCTGGAAATGCCTTTCACTCAGATATAGCAGCATGTGAATGTAATAAAAGCACACACACATGTGCTGCATGTTTGCTACCTGCTGACAAGCAGCAAAAAAATAGTGAGTCTGGATTTTTTAAGTGTTGTAATTTCCTAGTTAGGATAATTGATAATGAAGTCCTAGCATAGAGAAATTTTACCCAGATTCTGCCAGGGTGGCAAGAACCACTGAAATGATTTTTACAGAAAAAGTTCCTGCATATTTTAAACCCAGACGAGGTTGACAAAGAATTCCTGTTACCTAGACCTTACCAAACATCTTCCCCTGTGGCAAAGGAATGAGGTGGCTGCACAGACATGTGGAGGCTGTAGGAGCAAGACAAAGCATAACACAGCAGCATTTAGAGGGGAGGATTCAACCCTCTGTAGATCATCTTCATGTTCTCTATACCCTCCCAACTGGCCTTCAGCCCCCATGTGCAATTCTATCTTCTTGTTTCCCTTCCTATTTTCTCACCTAATTCATGTTCCAGATTTTTTTTTTTTCTGGACAGCCTGCAGAAATTACATCACCCTTTTATCCTATTTCATGGTCTACATATGTACAATAAAAAACAAGGAAGTAGCTCAGCAATCCAGATTAAGTAGAAAGAAGTCTGGCAGGCTCATCCTTGCTGTTTGTAAAAAACCATAATCCAGGAAAGATTCTGAGGCATTTTCCCAGACTATTTCTCCAAGTAATATCCTTGTCAAGAAAACCGTAATAAATTATCCCTTGGGCCTGCAATAAAATGCTCTATTTTTAAGCTGGAAATTCGCACAGATCTCCATGTTAATATCAATACCAAGGTGTTCCAAGTTAAAACAATTTACCAAAGCTTTGCAGTTGCTCCACTGTAATTATTCTTTCACAAAATGTACTGTAGGAACACCAGACCTTTCCTCAGTGGCACAGGCAACTATCACTAGGTGTGGCACTTGCAGGTTTTAGCCAAGGAAACACAGTTTGCCATGAGCTTTGGCTGTGACAGACCACGTGGATTCTTCCTCCACATTTCTCTTCGTGTCTCAGGGCAAAGAATGAAAACTACATTGAGGAAACGAACAATCCCTAGAAGCAGATCATAGTCAGGCCTTGGAATAGAAGGCATTCAAAATACTTTGCTGGATCATGGCCTCAAACATGTATCAACCCTTTGTACCCATGATCTATATAGTCTTGCTGTGAAGACTAGAGAAATGTTCTCACAACCCTGCAGGTCAGTGTGTTTTGACATGTGGTATCGGCAGTTGCAGCTGGGTCTGAAGGACTTGGGGTTTTTGCGTGTCTTTGCTCTATTTTTTTAATGAAAAAGAGGCTGTTTAATCTTTATCCAGCTATTGCTCAAACCAGCAAAGAGACAGGAAGAAGCCAATGCTGTGGTATCCTTAAGGTCCACAATACTCAAATCCAAAATACTGTGGAATGTCCTTTCATTTTGGTGCATTATGAGTCAGGAAATCACAAATGGAAAGGAGTGACAAGGTTTTATGTGTCTGTAAGACTTCTATCTGCTTCTGTTTCCCATTGTTTCCACTGGGACTATCTAGATTGCTCACTAAGCTGCTGGCATTGAGGGGCATCCTGCATTTATGCAATTCTCAGCTGCAGCTTACGCATTGGCAAGGCTCTGACTTACAGAAAACCAGATGGGTTTGCAACAGAAGCCAAGATGATGATGCAAACTTGTACAGATTCTCTGTACCTTGGAAAGAACACAACACACACTGAAGACAGTAAGTTATACAGCTTCCCTCTATTAAAAGAGCTATTCCTGTGTGCATTTTCAAAAAATCCTCCATGAAGATAAAAGGCATTATCCTTGTTTCCTCTGCTTTGACTTCTTTGCTGCAATTCCCATTTAATCTTTCACTGATGTTCCTGTTTTATTATTAAAGCCCACCCAGAGGAACACCTGAAAGAAAAAGTACTCTATTTTTCTATGTGCTGGCTTCATGTGGCGTATTTCCTTCCCCAGTTTCAAAACTTAGTTGGCTACTTTCTTCTTTTTCTGTCACTAATGAAGATTACAGCAGCCAGTGACAGCCCAGTGTAATAGATATTCCTGTGATATTAACAGTATAGTGGAGTTTGACAACTCAGATTTTGAGAAGCATTTAATACACATAATACCTTATAGATCCAGAGCTGAGAGGCAGTGCTCTATAGGTGCAGCCTACTGCTTTAGCCTTGTTTCCTCATCAAGGTTCCTGTTCTTTCTTATCTCTCACCTATTCAATAACTCTTGATTGAAGTGACTGACCACAGAGAACTCTAAAAGATAAAATACATTTCTGCAAGTTTTGTGAATGTAAGGAATCATTAAGATACAACATGCCTCTGAGGGTCATGATTGAAGGAAAGCACACCCTGCAGCAGGCCTGGTACATTATTTGTACCAGAGATATCCCAAGAGGGAGCAGGAGACAACACAAACATCTCCATACCTGGAAAATAATTAATTCCAAGTTTACAGCCAACCATGAGATAGGAATCTGCAAGAAGGCAGGTTTTGCCAGTTCTGGTGCTCTCAGAACTACTCATTTCATTGAGGGAGGTCAGCTCAAAAACCAAACCAGACAATTAAAGAGCATGGCTGCACAATTAGGATATATTTCAGACTGCCAAATGTGTTTTTCCATTAAAAGAAAGGGTGAGTAATTCTCTAAACCAGGACATACATCCTGAGGAATGTTGAACGATGCAGGGTTCTGTGATTTAACAAACTTTTAGTTAAAGTAGCTGCACATTTGCTATAATGGGGTTAAATGGGTGCTCAGCTTTATACCTGCACTGAGTTTTGTCTGATTAGACACTACATCTAAAGAACCCATGAGGGGTACTAGCTTATGAGATATGGTAAAAACAATTTTCCTGATCCTGCAAATATGCTCTTATGTGTATTTATGTGTCTGTTGCTAGTCAGCAAAAAGCCACTTGGTGAGATTCATCATCATCATGTTCATTGCTGCATTTGGCTCTCCTTGAAACTGGAAAGCTTTTACTTACCTATTAAGAAGCTTTATGGATTCATCTGCAACAGTGCACTTTGGGGAAGTTACTCTGCAAACAGATTTTTTTCAGATTAATTCTTATCTCTCTGCTTGCACATGCTTGCCCTATTAAAGGTGACATGATACCATTAAGAGATAGGAAAACCACAGCCTTCTCATATCCTTACACACAGTGGAAGTTGAACTCAGATTCCCCAAACCACAAGGCAGTTTGTGGTCTCCTGAAAAGCAATTTTAAGCAGCAAACAAAGGGTCTGACCTCACTCAGACTCATTGTTTAGGACTCAAGCACATACCAAGGGACCATAGCAGCAATGCAGTGGAGCCAGCAGCACACTTGGCTGTGTTAAGACTCACAGCCCAGTGCCAAGAACTCCTCTGTTCCACTCCTGCACAGCCTCTGACTCTCTGGGTGACCCTCCACAAACCATTCCCAGCACAGTACTTTGCTAAAGCAAGCCCTCCAGTCTCCAGCAGCACCAGTGGAAGCCACACATGCATGAGGACTTGAACTCTCAGAGCCCAACCTGACACTTCATCCTTGTGCTAAGCAAGGAAAGAGCAAGAGATTAGAGTAATTTACCTCAGCACTATGTGGTTGGAATTTTATCTGTCAGTCTCCAGTACAAGCTAAGGCCTTGCAGGAGGCTTGCAACATGTATTTTGCTCCCCCAAAACACAAGAGAAACATAAAGCCAAGGATTTCATCCTTTCCATTTAGGATGACTTGGCAGCAGCCAATAAAAGTTTGTAATGTTATCAAGTTCCTCCTTTTAAAACACAAACAGAAAAAATCCTCAGGCTCGTACCAGTACATGTTCCCTCTCTGACTCCCACTTAACCTGAAATTATTGTGTATTACTTTACCCCTTCAGCACCTTACACCAGTGATCAAGTAATCTGTTCTCAGCTGCTTGCTAAGGGCCCACTAATGGAAATTCTTTGGTGATCTGGAAAGTATCTGTACCTTTCTCCTACCAAGCTCCTTGCTGCTAGAGGGATGGACAGCATCAGCTTTCAGCAATATACTACAGAAAAAGAAGGAAAAAAAAATTATTTTTCAAGTCCTGAAGCTGCCCACTGACAGACCTAACAATTAAAATAAAGATATCTACATATGTAAAAATTATCAACCAGTACTGAAAAGCTGAGTGGAAATATCTCTTATGAAGATGACACGTGATTTTCAAAGGTTTATCACTGTATTAAATAAATTAGCACATATTACCAGGTAAGATATACAAATACATGGTAGTGTTTCTAAGAGCATGGCCTTCAGGGCTCATTTCCCAAAGAGGTCTATGGGAGCTCTGCAATAGTCTTACCAAAAGCATTTTGGTCAATGTTAAGTAATTCTGGAAAGTTCTACCATCTACTATGGGATAATTGCATCCTGCACACAATCTGGGCATGCAGTCAAGTGACAGGGACAGGTTCCTGCAATATGGCCCCAAAGGGCCCCTCTGAGAAGCTGCAGATCCACATCTGGCCAAACCACCATGTTCCCATACCTTGGCCTAAAAAGACAGAAAAGACTCAGAGCCAGTGTGTTAACAGTGTTTCACACCATGAGAGACACTGCACACATGCAGAGTTTACACAGGGATGCACAGGAAATTGATGTGATGAGTAACAAACCACAGGAGAACAAAATTTAAAAAATGTCCTAAAATGTGCATTTTATTTCATATCATTATACAATGTTTACATACAGGTATACTTTTAAGACTGCTCAAAGAAAGTGTGAAAAAAGTGAGGCAAACATCAGTTTAAAAATTCCAACCCTACCCCAAATCCCCACAAATAAAATACATTTTAACACAATCTCTTCCAAATTAATGTTTTGTCCTGAATTTATTGAATCTTTCATTTCAACATGAAAAATACAATCAAATTAAAACTCAAGGTGAAATGCTGACCTACACTTCTGTATTGAGTTGCAAGAATACAATTTAAAACCTTCAGAAGCCTTCACTTGTCTCCACTGCTTATATATCTTTGTTTTACTGAATTAGAAGGCACAGAAAGTCCAAATTCTCACAGACCAGTCAAGTCCTGATAAAAATAAGTTACTGTGCTGGACAACTCCTGACTTGTCTGATATCAAACAAAAGACTTCAAGTAGAATCTTTTGTTCAAAATAGCACCATTTCCACCTGATCTCTCTTGAACATGAATCATTCTTCTTGTGTAAAAACTGTAGTTGGCACTTGAGGTGGGACACTTTCTGCCACAGCCAGGATTCTTCGAAGACTAAGCATACCAAATTGCTGAACTCTCTACAAAGTGTAGGTAACATTTTTGTTGGGAAATGGCACATTTAAACCATAATGTAATGTCGTTTAACCCGCATATGGCTTGCCCATTTTGGTGTTTCCCTGACCCCTGCTTGATAATTTAGCGGATGTTCTTGTGACTGTGGTGAAACTAAAATAAAGACATGTTTATGGGGCTTCAAGGCAAGCAGGTGTAAAAATAATAAAACAAATAGTGTGGTTGCCACTAAGAAGGTTTTCACATGTTGTTTAACTCCAGTAAAGTTTGATCCAGCATCTGATGCATATTAAGGTTTTCTTCTTTGGCATGCGCCACTTTCTCTGTTGTGGGATTAGAAAATTAAAACATGAATAGCAGTTCTTTGGAGGCACTGAACATGAAGGCATGCAATCAACATTTCTCTCAGAGGGTTTAGAAAGTTAAGAAATGTGCATGCTCATAAATATCAATGTTTCCAGGTAACACAACTAGAGAGAATTCCAAATTAATAAAACAAACAGCAAGTAATGCAAGTTTAGAACTGTTCACAGCTGCATTTGTTAAAAAAATGCACTGCTGACAGACACAATGTTTTGGAAGCTCTTTGTTTATAGGCATGAGAGATAATAAGTGGCTTTTTTTTTTTAAGTAGGCAATAAAGTTCTTTGCAGATGCAAAATTAAAAGTTTCACAGAATTCAAAACCACAAAGAACAAAAAAAATACAAGTATTATAGTTTTTGGTAAAGTGACCTTTAAGAAATTTAATTCTTCTAGAAAAAAATAAACTCAAAGTTAGTAGACTTATGTTGCATGCACATTTTTATAGGACAATCACTTAACACACATAGTTAATACAATAAATGAGCATAGTGTTCTGGTGGTGCATCCCACCAGGATCCAGTAATAGTAACTTCATACTATGCAAGCATACCTTTAAACTGATTGGGTATTGTCAGATGGAGCTCCCATTCTTTTTTTTTAATGTCAAATACAAGCCAAATTCATAGTAAGGCAAAATTATCACATCAAAATCTCCAGAAAAAACAGCTGTAGTATCCTTTAAGTTGGCTTTGAAATACAGAAATACGGATTCTATGAATATTTTTCTCTTACTGTGGTAAAAATCTTAGGGCCATTTCGTGTTGTCAGATAAACTAAGTGCCTTTCTGCAACATAGGCTGTTACTTTTTGAAGACTGTTAATGAAATGCTGTAGCTCTTAAGTGGAAAGAAGCTACTGTACAGCAGAAGAGCTTAGTGCTCCTGCAAAATAGGTGTGCAGAGACATAATGAAAAGCCTCATCCAGAAGAAGCATTTCCATATTTTCCCAAGTGAATTTCTTTCATTAATTTACCACAGAATCAACAGCTTAAAAAAAAAAAAAATTCTAAGTTTCTTGCTTATTTCTACAATTACTGATTCATTCTTAAAGGAAATTTGGAAGAAGGTGTTTTCAAACAAGTTAACAATATAGTCACACTAAAGTTTAATCCTCATTCAATGCCAGCTTTAGTTCATTAGTTAGGCGACTGTTTTGCTCAAGTTGCTGGTAGAGTTGGTCTGTACAGGCAGCAAGCAGGTTAGAAGGGAAAAAAAGAGGCAGAATGAAGACAGATTAGACAGAGAAAACAGTTAAATAAGAGTTACTAAAGAAACTGGTCACATGACAGACAGTTCAGTAACATAGAGAGAAACATTTTACCTCTGTTTCTAGAACTCTAGTAATAGCTACTCCAAGGAACAGCTATTGTACCATATCAAGAACTGGCTAAGAATCCTGTTGTGGGAACAGCTGTGAGACACAAACTGGAACAGAAATGGAAGAACTGCAGCTATATTCCTAGAAGTACTATGTCTTACTTTAGTCTTCTGTACAGTATGTGAATTTGTTTTATGAATGCCATTATTCTTTGCAAACTATTCAAGGTGTAGTGGAACCTCATCTGCCAGTAGAGAGAAAACAATTGCACTACAGCCAGCATAAGTAACAGCAGGGGAGATGCTAGCAGGCAACTACCACCAGGTCAACTCAGCCCATACTCCTTTCCTTGTAGGTCTGATGGGCTGAAATGTTATTTTTGATAGGTAAATATTACTGGAATTGTTTACCTATCAAAATTGTTATTTTTGATAGGTAAATATTACTGGGGTTACTAGAATCGACCCATTTTGATACCTTTAAGTTGCTGAGTTTTACTTCGTAGGAAAACAGACTCACATTTGGTGAAAATGGAAAGGAAGGATGAACACTTTGCTCAAAAACAGCAAACAGAGAGGACAATTTGTGTTGAAACAGAACAGCCACAGCCATGTTGTGACAGGACATTTACTGAGAGTTGCTCTGCGGAGTAAAAATGTTCCACAACGACTTTTGACTATCTTGTATTCTCAAATTGCCCATGCTCTTCTCAATAGCCTAACTGCACTCTTGACCTCTTGATCCCAGATTATTCCCCTACAGGAAATGACTGTTTCTGACTCTTTTCCACAAGCTGCCTAACAGCTTCCACAGGAATCCTCTTCCCCTGCAGGCACTGGACACAGCAAAGGCAAAGCTGTGCAGTGAGCTGGTCTGCAGGACATGCTTGTATGGTGAGCAACTCCTCCCAGCTTCCTCCCTAGCCCAAACTCCCACAGCCAGCTCAGTAAAGCCAGGGCACATTTCACAGCTCTGATCCTGCAGATCCTCCAGTAACAAATGGATCTTGTCCCTCTCATCACGATAATGTCACATATATGCAGAAAAAAACATCAAAGCCTTACAGTAACTAAAACTTCCATTTGTCTAACAAAGTGTATATAGTTGTTATTCAAAAATTAATCACATGAACTTACTCTTATCATCATCACAGAAATCTCTTCTCTGACTGAGGCAGATTTACAGTATTTACAACTGAGATTTGCAGTATTTCTCAACTTCCAAAACAACTAAATCCCCCAGTAAAGCAGGGAAAGCACTTCCCAAGCAGACAGTGAGCCCTTGACTCCCCATGGGCTGTGTGTCCATCTGCTCCAGAGGCAGAGGCTGGCTCTGCAGGAGCCCCAGCAGCAGAGCAGGGACTTCTGTCTCTGTGCAGAGCCAGCAATGCTCAGCAGAGCCCAGAGCCAGCCCTGCACTCCTGGGAACAATCCTCAGGCACAAAACCAGCCAGACATGGCAGGTACAATACCACAATGGAGGGTGACAAGAGTGCTGAGCCACACCAGAATGGGGAACCACAACAGTTCCCTGGAGTGAAGATCAGAGCAGCAGAACCAGCCAGGAGTTCTGCATGCAGCTACCTGGGGATCTACATTGCACTGCTCATTTCCAGTGCTCTGTCCAGCCATCTGTCATCCTTCAGTGCAGAGCTGATCATGTATGACTGACACTAAAGGCAAAATTTTAATACTGATGTTTAAAATCACTATGTTAAAAAATGACAGATTCCTACAATGGATTTTGCTTTTTCTGTTTACTTTTCCTAAGAAATACCAGTACTGCAAGGAATTGGGTGAACTCTGCTAAAACAATGAACCAGAACACAATAGATTAAGCAGCTGGAGTTGCTGTAGCATATTTTACTCTGGCTCAGATGACAAGTTACAGTTGATCACAATCCCCCTAACTCCTGGATTTATGAAGTTATTAGTCATTTTACAAATGCTCATCCATTACATTCGCTCAACTTTTATATATCCTATTCTATCTGGTTACCCTTCACACACAGCCACTTACTGTGTCACTTGAGGAGTAGTAAGTTACTGAACTTAATTACCTGAACTGTCTGAGATTGCTGATGTATGTCCTGTATTTGGGCTTCTGCCCCCAGCCAGCAACATTAGGATGTGTCATAGGTAGAAAATTGGGATATGCCATAGTTATCCAAGGATGGCGGGCCAAGAAGGGCATGCATCCATTCACAAGTCTTATTGGGAAAACAAGTTTTGAGGAGGGGAGAAAATCTAGTTTAGACTGCAGTGTTGAATAATCTTGAAGCTGAACAAGAAAGAGACATTTACATTTTCCTAAAAGTTAAAAACTACAGTTCAGCTATGGTATAATGAATTTATTTAGCTTTGGTGACTTAGGAGCTTTTGCAATATATACAGTTACAGGATCACCAGAAATCAATCTGGTTTTTGTTTTCATGTGAACTGGAAAATAACTTCTTTCAGTGTGATGTAAATAAAGTTAAAATAAGGCAATACATTTCCTAGTTGAAAATAACAATACAAAAAGAGCAAAAGATGTCAGTATTTAATGCTTCATCCTTAATCAGTGACAAATCAGCTGAAACTTGAAATCCATGATGTTCCATTTTGTAGCAGAGTAATTTCATTAATAGCATAATCACTAGAATTTTCCTACTCCAGCTTTGAACCATTTCCCATGGGTCTGCAATTCCAACTCACAAGTTTGAACTAAGCACAAGTGGAAAGCTACCAAAACCTTCCCAATGTACTTCCAATATTATCATGCCACTCAAGAAAAATATATTGTAGAAATTCCAAAATGTTAGCAAGCATCATCTTGGCTGAATAACCAAGGTGTGAAAGAGGGAAAACTCTTTTTGCAAGACATTTCAAGGATTATTTTTGGGTGAAAAAAAGAATTTAAAGGTTTTGATGCTGCCTCTTTAAATCTGCCTCAAATATGTAAGTTAATGAACAAACACATTTAAATAAAGATAAGAAGTCTTCAGCATAAAGCTAGGAAAAGATTTCAGGCTTTTAAGTGAAAAATCTGGTTACATCAAGGATGTAACTGCTCCCTCAGCCATGCGCCCACGACCAAGTGACTCCAAGGAAGTAGTGTCCTTGCAAATTTTGTCCTAACAATAACAGCTGGAAGAGTTCCTATTATATCTATTAGTAATTTTATCTGCAGCAGAGTTTGAGAAAAACTAAGATAATAACTGGTCGGTTTTCACACACTGCACTTGCTGGCTTGGCATTGTCAACATTCAGGCAAAAGTGTTTTCATCTAAAAAATGAAAACACCAAAAAATGAAATCCCTAATGGCATAAAAGCGTAAATTTTATTAATAACTTAAATAATTAGTTAAACAAATAAAAGGCGAAGGAATAGCAAAAGGGATACACCTGGGATATTTATTTTACATTGAGAAATGTAGTTTCTGTACAGCAGAGCACAAACAGAGCATGTTCTGAGACAGGTGATAGAGGAAGAGTCAACTAAGCTAGAAGACAGGACAATGAACCCATGAAACATCCAAAGCTTGGAAAGATGTTTTATCCAACCCGATGAAGATGTCTTTGGAGAACTGAAGCAAAGAAAATTATCTGCATGAAAAGAAAAAGTGAGATAAGGTAGAAAATGAAAAAAGGTGCAGTAAAGACTTTCAAAAAAGCAGCAATGGCACAGCAGAGCCCAGCATGCTGAGATGACTATACTAGAGAAACAGCACACCATGCTGGGACTGGAATGATATGATCATGTCCTCATATACCAGTAGAGTACAATTTTAAGTCTGTTTTCCACTTAGAAATATCCCAAATTGAAGAAATATTGTAATCTCTGGATAGAGTGGAGGAAAAAAGAAATCCATTTGCTTGATAAGCCACTAAGCAAAACCATATGTTGGGGAGGAATTTAAAAAGAAAAAATCAAAGCATACAAAGCAGGCAACATGAGACCTCTACTAAAATGTTGGTAGAGAGAAGGAGGAAAGTAACGAACAGACATGGAGACAAAAACAACATGAACAAAAACCCATTTAAAGTATGGGTGCACACAAAAGCTCTAAGCAAACCTTAGAAAGGTTTGTTGAAACCTTAGAAAGGTCATGTTGAAAGCATGTCTAGGCTTCCAAAAGGGAATGCTGGGACTAAACATTGCACCTCCTAAGCACTTGAGAGCCATAGCTCTTCCCCTCTCCCATGTCAGCTGCAGTGCTCATGCATGGGAAGGTGGAGGTAGCACAGCTGACCTCTGTTCAGAGTCCCTGGAACAAGAGTCACTTTGTGTCAGACACTGCACTGAGGAGTCACACCTTACAGCTGTTGACTCTCCTACTTTCCTACCACTCTTTATTTTTCTCCTTATGACTAAAGTTGGTATTACTGCATTTTTGGTGTATGCAAATAAAATTACTACTGCTATCCAGAAAATATGCAGAAGAAACCTATAATTCAATTGTTGTCTTTATGGGTTTAAATGACGAGGTATTTTAAATCCATTTCCACACATGGAATTCAGTGGTAACAGCTGAAATTTTCAGAGCAGTTATGAAAATTTAGATAAATAGTTTCAACTGTCTTTAATAGTGAATACAGCTAAATCTAAATTTCTCTGACATTTTTGCAGGAACTTTGCCAGAGCAAAAACTGTGACAGCAGTCAAGGAATACACTCTGAATGCCAACATGTAGCACAGTAATTTTCTTTGGTAAAACAAACATGATGGGTCTGGTAGATAACGTCTGAACAGAGGTGAGCTGAAAGGATCAATACAGAACTACAAACACAGGGCAACCACAAGACACAAGGTTTACAGACACAGAATCAAAAAGTAACCACAAGCTTACAAAATCACCATGAGTATTTACCAGGCTTGGCACAACACTCACCCACACTTTGCCAGGGTAAAGCAATTGTTCATGGTATTTTGTACACCTATTCTCTCTAAAGGAAAGCATCTCCCACCACACAGGGAGCATCATTTCACTGCGCAATCAGTGAGGGCAGGGAAGCAGGAGCGGGCACAAGCTGGGAAGACATTTACATGGAAGTCATATCATTGAGAGCGTGGTCCAGCTCCTCACTGATGGCTTTGTACTTCAGTTTCTGAGCATAGAGCTCATCTGAGGTTCCCCCAGGAAAGGCAGAGGTGTGCAAGGAAATGGAGCAGGATCATGGGATGGAAGGTGAAAGTGGTGGCATGGGGATACCATCCAGAAGCCGTACGAAACGGGAAGAGTGCACAGAGTGTTGTGACAGACAAAATTAAACAAAATTAGAGAAGAATAAAAGAAAGAAAATAGTGAACAGTTATATGCAACAAGTTCATTAACTGCACTGCCAACAGGGCAACCTGTGATATACAGAAAACCAAGAAAAGAGAGTACAAAAGAAGCAAAAATCCATGTTTCACTGCCCTGGATTTTTGTTTTAATGCTTTTTTGATTTAATTAAGAGGGGACACAGGAGTTAGGGAGGAAAGATCCAAAAACGGGGCTCAAGGAAGATGTTACCATTTTTCTATCACTTTTTTTTTAAAACCACTCTGGTTTGTGTGATGTCAAACTCAGCTTCTTACAGCAATTTTTGTTCCTTCTAAACACTTATTTTTCTTCTCTGCTTCCTTCCTGAGTCAGTGATCATAAATTTTCAGCAGCTACTTAGGCATTTCATCACCTTCATGCAGAATCCAGCCTGCCACGTCACGCAATTTAGCTTCTTCAAATCCTACACTTAGTGTAATGCTTCTAAATAGCAAACTCCATATAACTTCAAATTACAAAGCCCTACCGAATTGTTTTCTCCAGAGGCAGAAAGCACATTCTACTGCTCTGCTGCAGTTCTGACAGATTTATCAAAACCTTACAAACAAACCCTCTGAAGTTGAATAATCTGTCCTTCTGATTATGTATGCAATCTATTAGCTTTACCAAAACCCAGGAATTGGTCTATGTAACAAAATCTGCCCTGACCCACACTTACCACAGTAATAAATTAGGATAGCTTTCTACATTACTAATTATTGTAAACATAATGCAACTCTTCATCAGTTCTTTACTAAGATGATAATAACACTTGTCATCTGATCATTTACCCTGTAACATTTATATACTTCCAAATAGAAGCGTATAAAGCAAAAAAATGGAAGGAGTCTTGAGAACGTAAGAGAAAAAAGCAACAGGCAAGAGCAAAACACTGTTCACCTGAAGCATTTAAGATATCAATACATTTCATTTAGAAAATATTTTGTCTACTCTTTAGGCAGACCCATTTATATAAGCAGGACAAGTCAGCCCAGTAGAACTGGGTATTAAAAAAACCCCAACAAAATCCCTCACACAAGAGAAGAATAAGAGATATGCATTTCCACAGTAAGTAGAAAAACAGACCCACATACCTTCTAGGTCATCAATGCTCTTCTCCAGCTTGGTTACTGACCTCTCAGCAAACTCAGCACGGGTCTCAGCCTGGAGTCAGGACAAATACAGACTACTTTAGGAAACACACACAGTACTTAGGAGTAGAAAAGAAATAATTCAAATGAGGAAAAAAAGCACAGGGAGAGGAGGCAAATAATAAGGCTAATATAAACTAATTTCTAGATACTTAACAGTAAACTGTTTCCAAAATGGTATGTTCATTCTTACAACATCACAGTAGAGTTTATACTAAAAGAATCAAAGGTGCATTGGAAGACAAATTGCAAAGAGCAGCTCTCATTTTACCTCCTTCAGTTTGTCAGTCAGAACTTTTATCTCCTCTTCATACTTGTCTTCTTTCTGTGAGTACTGTAATTAGAAAGAGGATCACTGGTATTAGATGGGTATTCTAAATATGCTCAAAAAACACCACATTCAAAACTTTTGTAATAGATTATCTGTACATAAGACATTGCTACAGGTAAAACAAAATTAATTCCACTTGGAAGGCTGTGGTAGTACAATTTATTACAAGAGTCAAACTTCCCTTGAGTTACATTCCAGTGCAATATGGTGGGAACTTGGAGAAGAAATTAGTACTACAGTTTTAAAGAGGAATGTCTTTTGGAGAAATTTAATGTTAGTACACAATGCCATTTTGAGGGACATTCTATAATTAACATTTAATCCTGTCAGAATACTCAACGGAACATGTTGCCAAATAATACTGACCTATTTGGAACTACAAGATATGCTATGTTCCAGTAGGAGCCAAATATGAATTGAGTAGTAAATCCAAATGCCTCTATTGACAACAGCCCTGAAGAAATGCTGCAAAGTGATTGGGATACAAAGAAAACCCCATAGGCCAGATGACAATGTAAGGGACACATTCTCTCGTAAGTCTCTAGCCTACCTTCTCAGCCTGAGCCTCCAGCGACTTCAGGTTGTTGGTCACAGTTTTCAACTCCTCTTCAAGCTCAGCACATTTGCTGTTATTTTGGAGGTAAGGCAGGAAAGGGGAGGATGGAAGATTCAGTCAAGCAAAAGAAACAGGAGAAAATAGGGGGAAAAGATAGAGAAAAATGAAAACAATTACAGGGCAAAAGAACGGCCTCAAAAGCAGCTGATCCATCACAGACTGAAAGCAACTCATTGTGATGCCAAATACCACTTCAAGTGCACATTAAGACAATAACCAGACAAATTTATCTACAGCTCTTGGCTTACACAGAAACATTTACAGAGCTTTTACACGTGAGACAGTTCAGCTTCTTTTGGCTGCACAGGAGATCAGTTTTAAAGATACAAATCAATAAACAAAAAAAGAGACCAAAGAAAACCACCAAAGCGAGATGCAAAGAGAGAGTCAAGAGCATAGCAAGGACTTATTTGCTACTACTGAGTAAGCTAACTGGCTATGGAAGCTGAAACACTTGGGTTGCAGTTAAACCTAAAAACTGTTTATTAGTATCAGTACCTTATCCTCTGCAGCCATTAATGCTTTCAAGGTTTGATCCATTATTCTTAACTGTTCTTCCAGCTGTCGGACTTGGCTGTTAGTGAACACATGAAATGCACAAAAGCCATTCACAAAATCAGTGTGCAGGTACAGCATGCAGTGACAAAACACGCGCACACACACAGGAACACATTTACTTTGGCACTGACCATTTATTTCAACATTTACAGTAAATGAGCAAAACATAGCTTTGAGCTGAACACACAGTGGCTGCCAACATTTCATGCAGTTATAGTTCTCTTCTAGCACCTCACATACATCCCAGGGCAGCTCCACACTTACCTTTCTGATAGCTCAGCACGCTCCTCAGCGCGCTCCAGGTCACTCTCAATGATCACCAGCTTACGAGCCACCTACAAGGACAGGCAAGGGACAGTCAGGGATACTATGTTGCTGCACTACACCTCACCTCTTTCTAGAACCTCTTCACTTTTTGGTCAACAGATGAGTTTGATTATGCGATATCTTCATTATTCATTTGAGACTTAGTTATCTGATGTTTTTCAAGACCTCCCTTTCATTCACCAAAAGGTAACTGAAAAATATTTCTCTCCCTAAGAGCTTAGGGAATACTCTCAAGCATTTTAGTGAAAGATCTAAGCTCAGATCTCCCGTCACTTTTTGCCTTGAGGTATATGAGTGCCTGATTTTCCTTCCACAGTTGTGAAGAGAGGTGTTTGTGATCTTTTGAACTTAAAAGGCAAAAGAGAAAACCAAAAATTACAGGCACAGCCTAATGGGCTTTAGAAAGAGATGACCTGCACTCAAGAACTGACCTCTTCATACTTGCGGTCAGCCTCTTCAGCAATGTGCTTAGCCTCTTTAAGCTGGATCTCCTGGATTTCCATCTTCTCTTCATCCTTCTGGGCTCTATTTTCAATGACCTTCATTCCTCTGAAAAACGTGAAAAACAGGAAATGCAAGGTTCAGGGTTTGCCAGTTTATCTCCATCTCTACTACTTGTGGTATGTGACTTTCAGACAGTGGTATTCAGGCAGTGAAACACATCAGACAGATGAGTCTTCACACTATAGATTTAGTCTTGTACACTTACATTTCAGACATTCAAGGAACAAAACATATCAAAAAGTGTGATTTGTTTAGCTCTTACTGTAGTTCAGTTGTAGAATTCCTTTTCATTTTAAATTGCAAGAAAAACTCATCTTATAGAAAGGTAAACAACGGGTGTTGCTTCTAAACACCTAATAAGACTGAAAACATCTGTGCTTTTACACTCATCAACAGCACATTAGAACCCTTGCAGTTCTGACAATAACCATGTCTGTGGGTCAGACTCCCCTGGATTTTGCCATGTCAGAGCCCTAGAAGGTTTTTGTGCTCTCAAAAGTCAAAATTTAAATCCTTCATAACAAGAAACACTCTGTGTTGCACATCTGATATAAAGTTACCTTAAATGTTTTAAAACATACTGTGACTCTCTGGCACATTTCTTTTCTAAAGACTCCATCCTTAGTAAGGTAGAAATGCATATGCAGAATGAATGGGTTTCTTTCACAATAAAAGGTTTTATCACAGCTATAAAATACCATTGGAAGAAGAGAGAAGATCTTCCAAATTCATGAAGTTTGAGCTCCTAATTTACACTACAGACTTCTGGAAATCTGAAGGAATTATCCGTCTCTTTCATTTGCTCACCTTCACATACCAATCTTGCCAACAGGAGAACCAAAGCTCTTCCACCACTTTGCTTACTCTGCAGGTGAGATTTTCTACCCACAATAAAAGCAAGAATCACCCAACAGTACAAGATTATCACAAGGAGATGTCATCCAATAAGAGAAGTCTGGGCTGGGCCAAGCAGTTTTCCCAGCATGTGAATGATACATCAAAAGACTGACCACGCTTAAAGTCTCATCTTTACAACTGACAAAGAATCCAATCCCAGATATTTTGGACATTTCTATAGACAAGCTGTAACTGAAGTCCATGTATGCAAAGGAAGAGCAGATTACACATACTCAGAGACCTAGGAGTGGTTTAATTTATTTCCCAAACCCACACCCTGGCAATTATGATCTTTGTCATAAGGGTAACAATCCATTCAGGTGTGGCTCTACCCACCTTTCACTCTCATCTGCAGCCTTCTCAGCCTCCTCCAGCTTCTGCAGGGCAGTGGCCAAGCGCTCCTGAGCCCGATCCAACTCTTCCTCAACCAGCTGGATGCGTCTGTTCAGAGAAGCTACTTCACTCTCAGCCTAAGCACAGGAAGAAATAGAATTAATTCATTGTAAGGCACACATCTTCCCTTGTAAAAGGTTACCCCATTACCTGCATTTAACAACAGTTTGTAATTTCTGACTTCATCCACTAAAAAGTCCATACACAGAGATGTGCATGATTGGATTGTGAAGGTATTGCTTAATAGAGGAAAAAAGTGATTAATGTTTGCTTTCAATGAAGCACATCAAGGACTGAACAATTTGTACTAGAAAGAACTGCACAGGAAGAATTATGCACCATTACCCAAATATTTTCTGTTATTGTATTTGCAGACATTAATTACAGACCTTCCCTTTTTTAAAATCAAAACAACACAAGCTAATTACTCAATTCTTCTGTTACCCCAATTCCTTTATTTATGACCTTTCACCATATTTTGTAAGAATTGTCCCGACATTTCCTTGAGTTCCATGAGAAGGGCTCAGTGTAAACATGTAAAACACACCTGGATCAGCATTTGCAATGAGACAGCTGACACAAAGAGAGTTTGAGAACATTTAAATAGTGCCTGAATACCCAGAAGTTTTGTTTACAGGCAAGCTGTGCAAGAGTTGACAAAAAAGGCACCAGCAAGGGCCCTGGTACAGGCAGCAATCCCTTAAAACATCTTTTTTTTTTTTTTTTTTCCTCCCATAGTTCCATCCTCAATCTTCCCCTAAATTTGCCTTTCTTGAATTACCTGTTCATTTAACCTTCTGTACAACACTTGCAACTCATCTGCCTCTTATCCTTACAAGCTATTATATATTACAGCTCCAAACCTGCACTTCCTTAAGTTGCAAAGTTCTAAAACAGCCTTCTTGTGGTAACCTCATCATTAAACTTACTTCCTTTCAAAACTATATTAAGCATGAAGTATATATAAAAGGGTAACTATTCTAAAAAGTTAACTACTTCAGAGAATAACACTTAATTAGTACTGAAAACATATATGATATATATTTGCTATATGTGAGAAGTACACATCTGAATTTCCTATGATGTCTAGCTGAGGGGAAAACCAACACTCTGGCAAAAGTAGATACAAAAAATATCAGTTTGTCAGTTTTTCTTCTCTAGCCAGGGGTAGCTGGATAAAGTGATAAAGTTGTCCATAGAAAAGATTTTGCTGTACATAAGACAAAAAAGAATAATTTACAGACCATTCAAATAAAACAAACTTTGACATAACAGTAATGATGTCCAGCTAGAATGACTGAAAGTAACGTCAATAGGGAAGCAAATGTCTTTGAACATTAATATGCATTGGCAGTGAACACATATAACCAGAAGGAGAAAATACTTCATCCTTAGAGATCAACATTAATCCAATCATCAAACATTTAGCTATGTCATCATGCAGTAGTATTCAAAACCTCTGGGTTTGGACTTCTGGCTTTAAAACATTAAGAATTTGAACTTTCACATTTAAGAAAAAAAAAAAGACCTTTCATAAAGGCTACCCTAGGGAAATTTGTCATGTTCAAGTTAATAATTATCATGTCAAGACTCCTCATCATGATAAGAGCATAAAATGTGCTCCAAAACACAGGGTGACTAAAGTTCAAGTTTTCACTTCCTGCTCCAGTAACTCACTAAGGATTTACCAATCAGCCTTATATGGCCCCAGTTATTCTTCTACAGAGCAGGACTTCTCTCCTTATATGGCAAGGAAGGAAAAAACCCCAGTGACATTCGGGGCACTCCCACTACTACCATGCAAACATAACCTGCGTTTCTGCCGTGGCACTTACACACCACATATTTTTACAATGAGTGATGACATGGATAAGTTAGCACTGGATGTTAATTATCACTATTATAAAGAAGATTCTGTTTTCCAGGAGGAAGAAAAATGCATTTTGGAAAAGTAATTACCAACAGCCCCTTGAAATGCATGTACTCAAAAAAAGATTCTTTTTTAAGGGGATGGCTGCTAATCACAGCCTTGAAACTTTAAACAATCTGGTATAACAATCAAAAGCTGGAGGCTGTGCTATGTTTTGGTCACAGCTGTAGCTTTTTTGTTATTTGCATATTTGTACCTTGCACAGGAAGAAAAACCCCTCACCTAACAACCCTAGCTGGTCACATGCCATATGTGTAAGGCATTACACTGAGGGAAGGAGCAGATTCACACCTCAGCTCGCTTGCTGCAGTGCTCTCACAGCCTCTCTCCTCAAGCATGCAGAAATACAGCTGCAACAATAAAACCCCTCATCTGTAGCCAGCACTGTAGAAAAAACACACGTCTACATGTGCCTGGGAGTTCAGTTTTTTTAGCGTTTATTCACACCAGCACTGACCCCTCCACACAAAACCTTAAATACCATGTAAATATACTCTGCAGAATTCCACATTATCCATATAAACCAACTCCAGGGAAGAGAGAGATGAACATTAACCTTTAGGGTCCTAAGCCTCACACAATGTAGCTGAACTCTTAAAGGAAGTCTCCACCAGAAGGCTGTGATCACCCCTCCAGCACTATTCCCTCTGCCACAAAAGTTAACAGCAAAATGTCCCTTTTCAATAAAAATTCCTTAATACGCTGTTCAGAATAATACATGTAACTGAAAGTAGGCATTTTTGTGTCCTTTACTCCACAAAGCTTATAAAACAAGTACAATTTTTTTAAAAACAGAAACCCTTATGAAATGACTTATGGCTTGTCACTGAAAAGAACAGATATGCGAAGTGATCTGCAAGAATGCAATAGTTACACAAGTGGCCATATTTTGCTCCATAAAGAAGATCACCTGCAAGTAATCAGGAGGTTTTTCCTTTGAACTTACTGCCCAGAATGTGCAGAAAGACCCATATTATAAGAAAATCAAATAATCACAATTTTTTCTATTGTAATAAACTACATAAAAGCTTTGTTCTTTTGCTTTGTTTTAATGGAACTACTGAAGACACTAAAACTGCCTCAAAGAACACTGTACATTTTACAGCAGGAAACATTAAGCTACAGCTGCTGGAACTCCCAAAGGTCAGTGATAAGCCAAAGAACAGCCTTATCAATTTTTTTTTAATTGTGATTTCCATCCATAATTACATCTCTCTGCTACGTAAGCCTATGCTGCTCACACCTAATCCTGCCTCTGCCTAAAACCAATCCTACTGTTCCTTTCCCCTGTTGGCGAGCAGCTTTGGTGAACAGCAGACACTACAGATGGAGGTTGGGGCTGTCCGCTCACACTGTCGGGGTGCTGTCGGTACTACGGCCCATCTCCGGTTCAGTCCTGCGTACTTCCCAACAGTCGCCATGCCGACTGCCCACACAGGTGAACTCGTCTGGATGGGATAAGAGAACTAGAACTTGTGGGGGGAAAAACCCCGTGAAACCTTGCTCATAGCCTAACACAAAACAAGTAGTCTCAAACATCTCGCCTAAGTCCGACCTCATTCCAGCTCGGGGTTTTGCTGTTGCCCAGCACACCTAGCGCTGTCTCCCTGCGCGCTGCACCTGGTCCCGGCCCACGCAGCGCTCGGGTTACCGAGCCGGGAACGCAGCACTGCGGGCCGGCCCCGCGGCAGGTAACAACCATCGCGTCGGACACGGTGGCGAAGGAAGCGGCCTCCCACCCCACGGGCCGGGGAGGCAGGCGGGGCAGCCGCGCCCCGGGACCCGCGCCCCCAAGCCCCGGGCCCGAGTCGGGCCGAGGGGCGGCCCTACCTCCTCCCGCAACGCCCGCTCCTGGTCCACCTCCCGCTGCAGCCGTCCCGCCCGCTCCTCGGCGGCGTCCGCCTGCTCCTGCAGGCTGCGAATCTTCCTGCGCACGGCCTCGAGCGAGCTCATCGCCGCCATGCCCGCACCTCGCCCAGCCCGCGCCACCTCCCTCCGCAGCCCCGGAAGTCCCCCCGCGCCACAGCGCTCCGGGGCGGGGCTGTACGCTCCGGCACCGGGCTGCGAGCGGGGCGGGGACGGAGGATGGTCCAGCCGTCCTAGGGATGGGCTGGTCCTGGCCGGGGATCGGTCGGCACCGAACCGGGATGGGCCGGTCGTAGCAGTGAATGGGCCGGCCCTGCCCGGACCGACCGCGGTTGGGCCGGTGGTGACTGGGGATGGGCCGCTCCTGACTGGGGCCGGGCCGGTCCTGTCGGGGCCGGGCCGGTCCTGCCGCAGCGCGCAGCGCGGCCGTGCCCGGTGGATGTGCCGGGCAGCAGCGCCGCCTGGCGGCACGGTGCGCGAGGTGCCCCGGACCGGACCGGACCGGACCCGGGGTCAAGGCCCACCTTCCCCCCGCAAACCGCCCCCAGAGGAGCGTCAGAAAACGACATCGAAGAACCCGCCAGATGCTGCCGCACCCGGCCTGGCTCCTGAGACACGGGGAGGGGAGAGGGGGCTGCAGCTGCCCCCTCTCTGGTGGGGTGGCTCCGGGGATGAGTCATATGGGACAGGTAATATTTTCTCGTCCCAGTCAAAGGCGAGTCCATCTCAGCGAGCCGACATCCCTCTCTGCCTCTGACCTTTTCCAAAGGCTCGGAATTATCCAAACTAATAAGGTAAATATTGGGTCAACTGCAATGCCCCAAATATACTCTTCATTGCCAAAAAAAATTCCCTAAACTGTCAAGACATACTCCATACATACAAATAAATAACGTATTTACCTCGAAGAAAACATGCCAGACACTCTGCCACCCTCCACCTCAATTAAATAAAATTACCCTCAACTAGCTTCGAAACACTGTTTTCCAGCAGGGGCAGGAGGCATGGGGATCAGTTAGGAACATCCTTAGTTTCAGAACAGGAATCTAGTAGCATTTGTCCTGCCTTCATCTTAGGCAAGCTATTTCCAAATAGTCTGCATACTTTTCCATATAAGGAATATCTCCCTTGGATCTATATGCGGCTCCTTTGAACAAGCTAAATAAATGTCCTGCTAGGAAGCTGCCTCTCCTATGGCAGCCTGCACAGAGCAGACATCTGATCCACATTATACACGGATCCCTCTCCCTTGTTCCTTTGAACACTTCTGTTTGTTAAGTTCTTGGGTTCTCTTTCAAAACTATATATCTTAGTTGCCATACTGAAGCTAAATCTTTTCTTTCTTTATTCCTTTTAGAAATAAAATAAGATAAAAGCATATTGTCTTCTATGCAAAGTTGTTGTTTGTAACGTTTCCATTTTTGAAAGTATCCTTCCTACCCCTGAAATACTTTGCTTGCTTCACTTGAGGCAACTCCTTTTCATTTTGGCTTTGAGGTTGGCTTTTAGAGCTGAGCTATAGGAAAAGGAGGGTCATTGCTTTGGAAATACTGCAGTTTCATCTAATCCTGTAATTCAGACCTGAGATTTACTCAAGGAGAATTAAATTGTCCAACAGCAGCAATAGAGACCAAGACCTTAACTGCACAGACTATACTCTTATGGTTCCATGCATGCGATCCATTAAATGCATGTCAGGAACAGACAGGTGGGTGGGATGAGGGCCTGGGAGAGGCACAAGCTCTTGCCTTATTACCATATAAAGTGCTGAGCTATATATATCTCTCAACTTGCTCCCAGGATCCCTGTCCTATGAACTGCAAAACTAGCAAGTATCATCTTCCAGACATTTTTCTGTCACACAAGACAACTTTTCTTTGACAAGTGAAGCAGTTCCACTGATTCCAAGGGAGGGGGGAGGCGGGGGGAAGCAGGAGAGAACCTTTTATCTCAGGGGCCAGTGAGCCAAGCCAGTATCTACCAGCAGTTCTAACACATGCATACCTAGCAACAGCTGTCTTGAAAACAGAACTAGCAGTCCTTGCTCTTCTGGATCTCCCTCTCCTGCACCTACTCACTATTAACTCTCTGCTTCTGTTTCACTGTCAAGACAGTGTTGTTCCAGCCTGAGCCGTTTTACCCATCATCTGAATAGATAAATCACCATTTCTTTACTTTCACATCTCGAGTGGCAAGTACACATAAAAAGCACACATCAAGTGAGCAAAAACCAAATCAGACGCCTCTGATAGTGTGCAAACCTCATGCAGGGAGGCAGTGCTGTGTTTCCCACCTCCCTGTCCAGGAGGTGCCTGGACTCTGCCTTCAGCAAAGCTTTGCAGTGCTGCTGAGTAGGAGTCCAGGCTGTCCTGAGCAGAGGGAGTGTGTGGTTTCTCTTTCGGGCTTGTGGCGAAAGGGATGGGGGTAACTTACATCTGTGGCCTTTTTGTCAGCCAGTTCCAACTTTTCCTGTGCATCTTTAAGGGACTCGGAGTATTTGTCCAGCTCATCCTCAGTGGCCTTCAGCTTCTTTTGTAGAGCCACCAGCTCGTCCTCCAGCTGTGATATGGGTGGAAAGTGGTGGAGAGGGGAGGGCGGGCAGGAAAAGGTGCAGCAGGCAGCGTGATCGTGCAAACGGAGAGGTGTGAGTGCAGAAGAGACAGAAAAGGACAGACAGAGAGAGAAAGAAGGAGAGACAGTTAGATCCTCTTTGCTTGCAGCAAGGGCACAATACCTTGGCAGCATTCTCCTCTGCGGAGAGGAGGCTGTCCTCAGACTTGTGTAGCTCTTCCAGCACTTGGTCCCTTGTATCCTCCGTCCCACGCAATTGCTTTTCCAATTGCACAATGTCATCCTCTAACTAGGTGCACAAGAGGAAATATAATGCACAAGTATGTTTCTCCCTTGGCTTAGAAAACTGTGAAACTAATTTATAAATCACTCTTCCTTTCTCCCTCCTCCTTCAGGATCTCCTAGAAACGTGCAATCGATGCACCCCCCTCCCCGAATCGAGAAGTCCCAGGTGTAAAGGAGGGGGGTTGAAGAAGGACAAAAAGGTGGGGCATGCGTCCGGAGAAGGGTGGGAGGGCAGCTGGAATCGGACACATCTGCTGAGGGATGATGGAGTGGGCAAACACAGCTTTAACTGTCCTTTGCCAAATCGCCGCACATCTGTCCAGTGCTAATCAGGCGTTCTGGGCAGCCTCCCTAAGCCGTCCCCCTGTGACAAAGGCACAGAGGCCACGCAGCCGTCCCGAGGCCCTGCTCCCTAGCTGGAATGGTGGGGAATGGTTCCCGCCGCGCCCCCGGGAACCTCCAGCCGGTGGCTGCCAGGCTGAAGCTCTGCCTTAGGGAAAGTTCAACCAGTTCTGCAGGGGCGCGGGGCTGCAATATAACAAAGTATGGTGACGGGGGAAGAATAGGGGAGGAGGTAAAAAAAAAAGAGAATAGTCTGGAAAGATTTGCGCCCCGGCGCTCGCTGCGCCCGGGCCCTCGGTGCAGACCTGCTTGCTTCTCTCCTCCGCTGCCTTCTTGTCCGCTTCGGCTTGCTCGGCTCTGTCCAAGGCGTTCTCCTTGTCCAGCTTCAGCATCTGCATCTTCTTCTTGATGGCATCCATGGTGGCGGTGGGCTAGAGCGCGTCCCCGTGCGAACTGCTTCCGAAAGAAAAACTTTAAAAGTTGCGGGACAGCCCCGAGTCCGGACGCCGGCCCCCGGGGGAGCGGAGTGCAGCTGCCGGGCGGCGGGGTTGATCCGTGCGGGACGGGGCACAGCCGAATGCAAGCGGCGGGCAGGGAGCGCCTCACAGATATGTACTTTCCCAGGGGGCTGACTGCATTCCTCAAGACATCCAATACTTTTTTGGAAAGGGCTTCTTTTCTTCCCTCCCTCCCTCCTCCTTTCGTCCCTACCCCTTTCCCTCTCTCACTGCCCCCGGGTTTTTTTTGGGAGGCACAGCCTTCCCATTCGCTGCCGCCTGCCATTTGACCGCAGATATGACTATATATGGGATGCGATGGGCGAGGTAAGGCGGGGGAGCAATTTGTTCCCATTTCTAAATAGGCAGGACGGGACATTTCGCTGCTACTCCCGGGAGGGGAAAAAAAAAAAAAAAAAAAAAGGCAGCAAGACGGAGCGAGGGGAGCTGAAGAGACGGGCGCGAAGGCTGCTCGCAGCGGGCAGGGTGTCTGGGTGACACCGGCCCCACGCGGGAGCCGTCCCCACCCGTGGAAATCAATCTGTTCTACAGCAGGAGGGTGGCGGAGCCGATCGCATCAGGCGGCAGGGGAAGGCGGGCCTGCGGGGCACGGGGGTTTGCAGGACGGGCAGTAGGGGGTTAATCGCATGCACGTACGGAATGAATGCGTTCCGAGACCTTCCCCCGGCAGCCGGAGGAGCAGAGGAGGAGGGGGCACCTCTCCTCAACAGCCGGGCCGCAGCAAATGTGCCCATGCAGAGCCGGGCACGAAGCCCGGCCTTTGGGATGAGACCCGGGCAGGGCTGGCCTTCCGCCGGGACCCACACCGAGGGGAAGGGGCAGAGGTGCGGCCCTGTCCCGCAGAGCAGTGCCGGGACAGGGCAGAGGTGCCAGCGGCTGCCCGTGCTTCCGAAGTGCACCGCTCTCCTCTGCAGTACCTGGCCGGGGCTCCTGGCCCTGCAGGGAGATGCGCCTCGGTACTGCGCGCTCAAGGGCGCAAGGAGGAACAGAAAAGGCGGACGGGAGCTACTGCGACCCTCAGCGGGAGCAGTGGGAGACCTGCCCTGCCGGGGGTATCCAGAGCTGCGAGGGAAGGAGCCCAGGAATAGCTGGGGCAGGGAATCTAGCTACAGACGTGACTTGCACCCTTTCGTAATGCCAGTGAGGGACAGCAACAGATAGACAATTAACAAAATTGCATATAATTAAGTGAAGACCTATTTAATTCACTTCTGGCGTGTCTCTCACAGTCTCATCAGCAGAGTGAGCAAGACACGACACGTCCTCAGGACGCACGCTCCCTTGTACAGCGTAGAAAGTACAGGGATGTGCATAAGTCCCACAGGATGTGGGTTGCACAAAGAGAAAATTAGGCAGCCTTTGTCTACACTCAATACTTGTAGCAGAAAATTCCTCCGTGGTGCTGTCACTGGATCAGCTGAACTGATGTGACTTTGCAGGAGGAGGGAATGTCCTATAACTTCTGGCCCATGGTGCTTATCAGGGCAGTTAAGGGCTTGATTTGCCGAGCAGACCTTGGAGGTCAGTTCCTGGAGAGCTTAAACAAAGCTTCAGCTCTACAAGATAGCAAAGCCCCCTGATGAAGACCAACAGTTACAATCCCCAGGTCCTCAGAAAGGCCATAATCTTAATTAACCTAGGAACTATACAAAATTCAGAGGCTCACAACTTGGAATGGGGATTCATGTGTGCTGCTCCTAGGGAGCAGAAGTCCACTGTTAAAATAGCTTTCCTTATGCCTACTTAAAGAAAAGACATTTATCACTGCAGTCCTTTCTCACTCCATTGATTTAATAACCAAGCTAGTACAACAGTAAAAATTATTGAGTAAAACATTGCACTATCACAGAATGTTTTAAAACACAAGAGTATTAAAAAAGTACAGATTTAGTCACAACCAACTCTAAAGTGTAGTTTTTCTCTTTGCACTTACTTTGATTTCACACTACAGTCAGTAAAGATTAGGGCCTTTCTGAAATAAGTATAGTGAATATTTAAAAGATACCTAGTTACATATTGTTCAACAACCTGACGTCTTTGTTAAATGTATCAGTATGTTTTAACCCTAGTTTAGGAGAACATTTTCCTTTGCCTTAAAAAACATAGAGTATCATTGTTGGGAATTCACTGAGGTAGCTCTTCTCACTTTGGGGAAATAAAATATGTTGCGAAATTAAGCAAACAGCTGTCTGGCTAATTTGGGAGGGGTGCACAGGTTCTTAAAAGAATGCCTGTGCAGCTCCTGTTTGAGTTTTCTGAAAGAATATTAGTCACGACATGGGAGCCTCTAGGATACAGAAGAAAGTATGAGATACAGGTAGAAGGAACACAAAGTTTAAAAAAAATACCTGCAGGATGGTATCACCTCCACAGGAAAAAAAAACCCAAAAAACATTGAGGTTCTACTTACATGAAAATGTGCAGTTAATAAGTTTGTTTATAGCAAGATGACCTGTATCCAAGGGGCTGAACTGGCTGATGTTGATTTAATTTTTGTTTTCCTCCTGGAGAGAATATGAAAAGTACAGACATGTGTTAACATGCTTGCTATACCTTTCATTAACAATTTCAATTACTTGGAAACTTCTGTTCCAGCTGGCCAAGAAAGATAGGCTTAGAAATTAAATAGCTTGTATAGTCTCTCCCTCTTTAATTGATATGTGAAGACAGATTGTATGCAAATTATTTTTAATTACTGAAAGAAGAAGGCAGCACAAACTTTGCTTTTATGACATAGTACAAATTCTCTATTACTTGTCACCTCTTTTTTCAGCACAATGGCTTGGCTCATCTCATCAATAAATGGTGCAGGAACTCCCTAGCAATAGTTTCACTTTCTTCTGGGGAATACCTACTGAACTATTTTTGAATTCTGTTAATTTAACTGGGCTCTTCAGAAAATCAAGACAGCAAACTCAAAGCACCAAGAAAGGATACCTGGTTTTAAAATTTACAACTCCTTCTGTGAGCAGGTGATGCCACAATTCAGGCTTACTGACAGTACAATACAGAGTAAGGCTGGGACTTGTTTATATAATGATGTTTCTGTCATGTCACCTATCCCTTGACATGGGCAGAAATTTGCCTTGAGGAGGATCTGCTCTTCGAGCATAGATGGGGTTGGTCATAGGGGGTTGATTCTGGTAACAGACAAAAGGGTAGGTGGACATAATCACTTGGAAAAATTTCAAACAATGCCATTGGAGTTGCTTTACCTACTTATTCTTCTCCTGGGTCTCTTTTTGCTTTGGGTTGTGGGTTGGGGTTTTTTTGTGTGGGTCTTTTTTTTTTTTTTTTTTTTTTTTAGGAATATACAGGAAATGACACCTAACAACTGGTTCTGCCAGTTCTATAAAACATGCCTCCTAAAAAACTAGTAAGGATTCAAGTTAGGTCAGTCAGAGTGAACTCACAGGCCTGTATGTCATTTGAAAAGTGTAGTGTTCCCTCACATGGAGGCAAATATAAATGAAATATAAACCAATTTCTCAAAGGTCTCTGAGACCTCTGCTGCCCTTGTAAAACAGCAATGTTCCTTTTGGATAAAGGGAGCCAACAATATGAGTGTAGGATATTATAAGAAAATAGGAAATTGAAAACATCTGTATTCACCTAGAAAAACAAATAAAATAATACTGATGAAATCAGGTAGGTTTTACTAGTACAGTCAGTGTATTTTATCCTGTAAGGATCTCCAAGAGCTTTGCACTAAAAAAATTGAGGGACAATATTTCTGAAAGAAGCATAAAAAGGGCAAATTTCTCCTGGGGAAATTGGTCATCTATGCTTCAGCCATAAGGGGAGAGAAAGCCCTAAAACAGAAGGTAGGAATCCCAATGGCCAGTGCTCTGCACAGCTCAGTAGGCAGCAAACAAGTACAGAAATACTCCAGAACATGCCAGTCATGCTTAATTCATGCTGTAACTCTGTAAAAGGTTTTCAGTACCATTTCCTAGGTAATGGTGGAGAACAGTTTAGCTTTTGTGATTAAGAACTATGAGATGATTTGTTGGAAAATTAAGATTTAAATTATTTTAATAATTTTCTTCTTCTGAACTAATGTTTCTGTTTGGCTTGTCATTCAAGAAATTAGTGAACTCCTTAAGTAAAAATGTATTTATAGCACAGTCTTCTGCACCTGCCCTGATCTATAATCTGAGGGTCTACTCAGATACCACACCAAATGCTAAGAAGCACATGACCTAACTCATGACCTAAGATCTTAAAATAGCTCTGAGAAGGTCTTTTTTATTTTTTCCCTAAGACTCCTTTCACTCTAATTGCACTACTGTTATTTGCTAGATTTCAGCTGAGCAAACATGTCTCCCAAGTTTTTGTATTATGCTTTCTTTTAAAATCAGATTTGCTTTAGGTGGTAGTTAGGAGTTACTAATGTCATTCTCTGAAAAACATCTACAAAAAACAAGTAACAGAAAGACAAAACCCAAATTTCACTCTTGGTATGATGTTTTTCTACATATTTCTCTTTATAGCTTCAGACCAAGAAAAGATTAATAGATAATTTATAACTGTTTGTCTGTATTCATATATTGTTGGATTTATGTCCCACTTAGTGAAGTCTCAAGTCATTTACTTAAATCTGACTGAAGTAATCTTCTATTTTAAAAGTGTTTTAAAAACAGACTTTAAAAAGAATACCCAGTCCATTTTGATTTAGAGTATAGTATTGTGCCATAGAAAAGAACAGTGAAAAGGCCAAGTAACAGAAAAAGGCAATTAACATGCAATGAGGGGAAAAAAAAAAAACTACAATCAACTTTACCCAAGCACCAAACTGAAAAGAACTGTGAATCAACAAATCAAAAAAGAAGCAACTCTTCTGGTGAGAGTCCACTCCTGACCTGACAGTGGTGCAGAAATTGCATTAAAGTTTGTGATCTCCTCTGATTTACACTATCCCAAATGACATCAGACCCAGTTCTACTGAATGCAATTGAGAAAAAGTTGTGGACAACAAGAAGGCCAATACCTTCAAAGGCAGAGTTCCATCCTTGTGAACCAGTTCATTTGCCAGTGCTTTGAGCTATATATAGATAAATACACTATCACTGTAACATCTGCTGCCATATCTACAAGACTACAAGGTGTCCTGA